TCTCTCTCTCTCTCTCTCTCTCTCTCTCTCTCTCTCTCTCTCACACACGCACGCACGCACGCACACACACACACACACACACACACACACAGAGCCCATCAATATAGATTAATTTCGTTTTAATATCCTTCTTCAATTTTTTTAATTTTAAAAAAGATAAAGAATAAAGTAAATCAAGATTAAGATTGATCTACATTGGTAAAAATGATAAAGATATAATTTAAATGAATATTGCCTAATTAAACATATATTATTCGATTATTTAGTTAATATACTATATAGTTATTTTATAAATTACTGTTGTTCCGTAGAGAGATATATTGACCTGGTCGATTATTGGTCAAACGTATATGGTTTTAAAATGAGTTGTATGAAAGGTGAAGTGCTACGTGAGCCTAGTATAGAGATCTGTAACGTCGATGATCTTATAACAAGCTCCATCGAGATCCAAGCCTTTGATTTGTACAAAGTTACTACGGATTGCATCAATTTTTCATCTCCCTTCACATTGAATGTGAAAAAAACAGGATCATTAACTGCGATAATCGGTTATTTCGACATTTTCTTTGATCTCGAGAATCCGATTCATTTCAGTACAGGTCCTTATACTACGCCAACACATTGGAAACAGACGGTATTTTCTTTAAGCGAGCCCATTAGCATAACTGAAGGTAAATTTAAAATATATGTGTATAAAATATATTCAATTTTATTATAATTAATATAATGTTTAATATTATCATTATAATTTATTTGAATGGCATTTTAAAATATTTAATGCAATAATCAAATATGTGATTAATAATTCAATTATATACATTATTATATTAAGTATTTTAAAATGATATTTAAAACAAAATTATGTATTATAATATTAATCGTATTTCTATTGCAATTTTATTGTATTTTTATATTAATTAATTAGTTATTTTATATTAATTAATTAGTTATAATAATGATATTATTTTATTTCGGGTAATGCTTTAAAATATCTGTCAGCATTTATCTTTTTTAAAATGATTAGATAAGAGATTAGACAGAGAATTGAGATTTACGTCTCAATACCTTCGAAAAATCCTCAGAATTATTAGAGAATCATAAATGTATAGGAGGTTGCGAGAGGTGGCACGAATTAAATGTCGCGATCGGTAACGTAAATTCACTTACCTTCGGTATAGTGAATAATGACTTCTTCAATCGTCGATAAAATAGATAGCGTCTTTAGTAGGCAATGCGGCGCTACTTCTCGTAACTTCTTTTACCAACATGTTACCCTAATAACCTTTACGATTTTTGGAGAGTATTCAGAAACGTAATTCTAAATCTCGCTTAGTCTTTTTATGTTGTTTTGTCAATTATCTTGGAGAGAAAGATAAATTGACATAAATACTACATTTTAAGATAGAATTTGAAATGAAATAATATTATTATATCAGTCCCATCTACATAATTAAAAAATAATATAATTAAAATAATATTATATATACATTTATATTTTTTCATTTTATATATAGGTGAAGTCATAACCGGCACGTTGGTTTGTCGAAGACACTGTAAGGACATCCGAGGCTTGATAGTCATTATCCATATCAAAAACTTCTCTCAGACATATTTTCTAGATTAAATATCGAATATGCTTGTTCTGAAATACGCGTGAACAATAGCCGCATGTGCCACATATTGGAAATAGGGTCCAGCTATCGCGTTACAAAATTTCCATTTTTATTAGACGTTCTTTCCCGCGAATGACGTGTTGCTGAATCTTTATCTCTCTTTTCATACAATTTGAAATTTGTAATTGATAGTTTATAATGTCCGTTTACTTAAACGGAGGATATAGCTTACGCGTTTCGGAATTCCAGATCTTAATTTTTATGCTGGAACCATACATATTACTGTGTTAATACATATACGCTCTTTCTCTCTTTTACTCTCTCTCTCTCT